CTGGTCCCCTTTTCCTATTGGCCTCAGTTGCTTTTAAGGTATCTGCTTTAGTTTCTCTGCGTTAAGGGCAACAAATGCTAATTTTTTAGGTGTCTTTCCTATCCTCACCCCTCCTTTGTGTGTCAGCCCTTGTTTTTATTAAATCTCTCCTGCTGGTTTTGAGTGCAGCTTGTTCTCATTTTTCTAGGAGTTTTTCCTAAGACAATGTTTGTTTTAGTCAGCGAGATGTGTTTCTTATAAACAAGTCATCCCGTCTTCCTTTTTAATCCAGTTTACCAATCTATATCTTCTGATGGGGAAGTTAAGACCATTAACATTCAATATTAATATTGAGAGATATGTGGTAATCCCTGCCATTTTGTTGGTTTTGGTGAGTATTTGTGTTTTTGTTCAATAGATCATTTCCTACTCTATCATTGTTTATCTGCTCATCTCCTGAAATAAAATTATTCCCATCCTTCGTGGCTATGTTTATTTTCATCTTCTGTATATAAGATTCTTTTGACCATCTTATGAATGATGGTTTAGTGGTCATATATTGCTTTAGTTTCTGTTTATTATGAAAAATTTTTATTTCTCCTTCAATTATGGATAGCTTTGCTAGACAGAGTATTGTTGGCTTAAAATTGTTTTCTTTCAGTGTTTGAAATACCTTATTCCATGCCCTTCTTGATTTTAAGATTTCTGTTGAGAAATCTGCTTTTATTTTGATAGGTTATCTTTACAGGTTATTTATATTATTACGGCCTTCAATATTCTTTCCCTGTTCTCTGTGCTTACTGTTTTAACTATAACATGCCTTAAGTAGATTCTATTTTGGTCATGTCTGTTTGGTTTCCTGGAAGCCTCCTGTACCTAGCTGGGCATCACTTTTTTGAGATTTGGGAAGTTTTATGCTATTATTTTGTTGATCATATTTCCTGTGCTTTTGGCTTGCACCTCTTCTCCCTGTTCAGTGCCCATGGTTCATAGGTTTGGTCTTTTAATGGAGTTGCAGTCTTGCATATTCCTTTCATAATTCTTCAGGTTTTTTCTCTATATATTAATGTTTTTTCCATTGTATCTATTTTATCTTCAAGTCCTGAATTCTGTCTTCCACTTGTTCCAGTTTCGTGGTGTGGCTTTCAACTTTGTTTTATTTGACTTAGGGAGCTTTTTATTTTTGGGGTTTCCTTTTTTTTATTTTTTCCAAGACTTAACAGTGTCTTTATTAAGCTCCTCCTTCACATCTTGTCTTCTTTATCTTTTTTCAATATCTTCCTTGATTTCATCCTGATGTTCATTTATATCCTTTTTTGAGTTTAGTTGTTTCTGTCCCTTCTCAAACTTTTTATCCCATTTTCTTGGAATTTATTGACTTGTTTTTGTATATGTCCTGATTAAACTCCCTGAACATCTTAGTCTTCTTTTGAACTTGGAAACTAAGGTTTTAGCCCCTTTACTATCCATCAGATTCTCTATTGTGTGATTGTTGACCTCTTAAGGAGTCATATTCCCCTGACTTCTTCTATTTCCCATGCTCTATTTTGAGATTTACTCATATGTTGTTTATTAGTACGTTGGGAGTTTTAGTCACCTGAACTCTTTCCCTTGACTTAATTTCTTTGTTCTGGCTGGATTGCTGTTGTCTAGGTTGTTTTTTCATTTCTGTTCACTGACCTGAGGATATAACTGAGCAATAACAAATTCACAAATTTAGTGCCAAACCAGTTATTTATGTAAAATATAAAACCCTTGGCAGTATTATCTGTAAACAGAGAGGTGTTGGGGAAATAAAAGTTGTTTGCATAGAAATTAAAGCTTAGTTAGTAAAAATAATGGGAATGGAAGAGATAAGGAAGGAGGAGGATAGGGAGAAAGGGAAAAGAGGCGTGAGGACTGCAGGAAAATAAAACCCTAACGTGTGTAGAGGTGTAGTTCAGTTGTGGAGGTGGGTGCTATTGTCAGGGATTGCAGAAAGATGGGAAGGATGGGAATAATATAAGAAGCTAGTAGAATAAACCACTTTTTAAGTGATTTATAAGGAAGAGATAGAGAAAGTGAGGGAAAAGAGAAGGAAGAATAGAAGAAAAAACTGGAATTAAAGGATGTACAAATTGAAACTTCAACAAAATGGAAAACAAAAAAAATATTTTTTATTACAAATTTCTTCCTTGTGAAAAAGAATGGGTTTCTTCTGTGTTCAGTGAGTACACTGGACACTTCCCTCTAATTTCTAATTTTCAGGTTTTAGTCTCCTGTTCTCACATGTCCCCTCTGGGTGCTGTCCCTCCCCAACTGTGCAAGTCTGTGTCTCTTTACACAAGGCCTTTATTTGGGTCCTTGCCCCTCCTTAGGATTGATAGGCTGGACTGAGTTGCAATCTGTGGCACCCTTACCCACCAGGCTGGTTTGGGGGTTCCACTCAGGTCGTTTAGCCACAGGCTCCACTGGGGCAAAAAGGGGGTAGTTAGGTTAAGCTTGCTTGGCTAGGTGGGTTCTCCAAGTTGGTCAAATGCAGGACTGAACAGAGAGCAGTAGCCAGCCTTTCCTGCTAGTCAAGTCTAAGAACTTTAGTTTAGGTTATTTGGCCAAAAGCTCTTCTCTGGGCAGGTCATTAGTTTCAGCTTGCTGTAGGCTTCTTGGAGGTGGGTGAATGAGTTACTGTTGCCCACAGGCTGGGCTCAGGCTTGGCTAGCCTGCACCCAGCTAGCCTGCCTGGAAAAGTGCATGCCTGGACTGTGCTGCAAGCCATAGCACTCCTCTCTTACCAGGCAGGGCAGACTTCATCAAAGAGCTTTCTCATGGAGGGTACAATCAGATGCCAGCTGGACTGTATGGTATCCTCAAGTACTGAAAACAGCAAGCTCACCTGAATGGTTTATAAGCACCTCTCTCCAGTGTTGGAGGGACTCAGGTCAGTGGGCCATGGGCAGCAGGCTGTGATCATTCCCTTCCTCCGTAGACCAGTACTTCCCAGGTTCTTGCAGGACTTGCAGCCCTGTATGTCAATTTTTAGCTCTTCCAATGGTCTTTCATGGACTAGAGGTTACTCTGGACCAGTTTTTTAAAAATCCACCCCCATCAGAAGCACAGTGTGTTGTTTGCTATACCCCACAATACCTTCTTTCATTTTTGTTTGCCTTGACATTTCACATGGGGTCTGTCACATAATAGATGCTCAAATTAAGTTGAACTATTGATTGAATAAGTCAGAGGGCACTTGGAAAAATAAACTTTTTAGGTTGAGAAAGATCTTATTTGCCGTGCCAAGGCATATATTCTTTTAGGCAGTGGTAAATTCATTAGAGGCATTTAAGCAAGGACACAGTATAATCAGATTGAATTTTTTTTAACATGGGTAGAAAATGAATTATTTGCTGGACAAGATGGCTTATACCTATAATCCTAGCTACTTAGGAGGTGGACACCAGGAGGATTGTGGCTCACAACCAGCCCAGTCAAAAAGTTCATGAGATTCCATCTGAACCATTGGCTGGGTATGCTGACATGATCCTATCTATCATCCAGCTAAATGGGAAAGCACAAATAGATGTATGGTCCAAGCCAGCCCTGGTTAAAAAAAAAGCAAGACCTTATTGCAAAAATAACAAGCACCAAAAAGACTGGTATAGTGGTTCAAGTGATAGAGCATCAGACCCTAAGTTCAAACCTCCCTACCCCCACCCCCACGCCAGTACCACCAAAAAAGAAGAAAGAAAGAAATTGTATTAGTTAAGGAGATCTGAGGACATAAATACCAGTGTGGCTATTGCAGTTGCCCAGATTAAATTAGACCTGGAATGGATGGAGTTATGATACAGGGGCAGAGAAAAGGCAAGGCTCATTCTGGGAAATATTATTTAGGAAGCTGATTGATGATTATGCCATTTCCAAGACAGAGAATATGATAAAAGGGGCAAGTTTGGGCGAAGATAACTCCAATTCAATTTGGATAAATAATGTTTGAAATGTTTATGAAATATTTAAGTACATTTTTCTACTGGGCAGTTGGTAATAAGAGAAGCTTAAGTTGAAGAAACAAACGGTGAAGGTAGACCATAGTAGTAGCAAAAAGCATGAAGAATTAAAAGAATACTACAAAGAAGTGATTACTATACATCTGGTGATGAGGAAGCATTTCACAGAGGTCTTAACATTTAATGAGTCCAAGAAACAGAAGAATATGCAAGGAAAATGTATTCCCAGTAGAGCAAAGCCATTTGTGGCATACAGAACACTAAAACCTCACCAAATTCAATCTGTTCATAAATTCATTTTCCTTTTTTTTAACATTTTGAGTGTAAAAACTTTGAAATGTTGCTATGGTTATGAAAAGCAAAATGTAAATCTTAATTTTTCTCTTATTCAATTTCAAAGGAAAGAAGATTCTATATGATATACTTGCCTTTGCCAAAGAAAGTGTTAATTCTCATGTTACTACTCTTGGGCCTCAAAATTTTCCTGCCAGTGACAAGGAACCATGGCTTGTTGACTTTTTTGCTCCTGTAAGTTATTTTTGTCAAGAATTTCATTATTGTCATATTTTCTCTTATCCATAGCTGAAAGACACTTTGTGGATAACCTTGAACCATCAGTACTAGAACTGTTTAATCAGTTTTGGCCAATGTTAGCATATAATGCTTCTAACTGAGCACTGATATAATTAACTCTCCAAGGATTAAGTATATACCCAGAAGATACCCCACTAAGTGTAGTTTGTCTTATTTAGCATATTGCTTATTGAGAAAATGATGGGATTTTTTTTTTGTTTCATTTGGCTCAGTGCTTATTAATATACATTTTTCTTTCCCAGTGGTGTCCACCTTGTCGAGCTTTACTGCCAGAGTTACGAAAAGCATCCACACTTCTTTATGGTCAGCTTAAATTTGGTACACTAGACTGTACAGTTCATGAAGGACTCTGTAACATGGTAAGGAAAAATATAAAAAATTTACTTTAATCAATGTTATTGTAAGGTAGAGACCTTTAGCAGTCTAATTCAAACAAAATAACTTTTTCAAGTGTACATCTTCTATTTAGAGTATTAATAAATCACTTAAGTAATTTCAATAAGATATTTAATTGTGATAGATTAAATCATAAATAGATAATATTTGGTTGAATGTACATAAGGTCTTATTTTATCGAATTCAGTCATATCTTAAAATGCTTTTTATTTAGATCTTTATAGCCTTTAACTTTTACCTTTTTGGCAGTCTACAATTTTTATTCTTTGGATTTTTTTCTAAATGTAGTTAATAGGAGGAAATTAAAATAATAAGTTTTTTGAAACCTTTGTTTACATGAAAAAATTTTCTAGGATAAATAAGTATTCACTCTCCAGTCCTCAGTTCAAGGAAGAACTATAAAGTTTATACCTCCTGATAAAATTGTATAATACCATCTATAAAATATCCTCAGTAGAAAAAAAAAATGCTAAAGCTGATCAGACCTCCAGATATACCACTATATAGGAAATACAATGATGGATACAAGTTAAGTGACACCATGGGCATATAATCTACAAATCCCAATAAGATAAGGAGAACCTTATAGGATACTCAGTTTATTCATCAAATTCATTGAAGGGGCTGGGAGAGAAGAGATGAAAATATATATATTGAGTCAAATGCAGTGTTTAGGCCTTATTTGGATTCAGTTCAGACAATTGCCGATTTCAAAGAATTACTGATTTTTAGGTGTGAAAGTGGTTATATTGATGGTAAAATTCTTACATTTTAAACATTAAAATATTTATGGATACATTGATAGATCATCTGAAATATGCTTTAAAATAATCTTCTGGTGGGAGTAGAATATAAGGGGGGTATAGATGAAATAAGAGTAGCCATAAGTGAATGATTATTATAACTATGTGAGACATGTAAGTTTATTTCCTTTCTACTTGGTGAATGTTTTAACTCATAAAAACCCAAGTGCTGCATGCGCCGGTGGCTGACATCTATAATCCTAGCTACTCAGGAGGAAGAGATCAGGAGGATCACATTTTAAAGCACACCCCCCCGCTCCAGGCAAATAGTTCAGGAGACCCTGTGTTGAAAAAAATCCATCACAAAAAAGGGCTGGTGGAGTGGCTTAAGTGGTAAGAGCACCTGCCTAGCAAGTTTGAGACCCTGAGTTCAAGCCCCAGTGCTGCAAAAAAAATTACCCAAGTGTTAAGATAGGAAGAGGAAGGAAGGGAAACAAAAGAAAGTTTTTTTAATCATAAAAGAGAAGTGGGAAACTTTTATGACATCTGTGTGAGAAATAATTTTACTGACAGAAGTACAAACTATAATTATAAAAATTAATGAATTTAACTACATTAAATGTTCAAACTATAAAGAGATGCTATAATGTTAAGACAAATCAAAAACTTAATAGGAAAAAAAGCTGAGAGATTCTAGACACTTTGTACAATGGGAAATCCCAAAGCATGTGAAAAATGCTTGACTTCACTAGTCATCAGGAAAATTCAAATTACATGAAAAGTCAGATACCCTCCCCATTAATCAAATTGATGAAAATTTAGAAATTGACAACAGCAAGTGTATGAATAAGTAGTAACATTGTGAAACTCCAGAGTATTTACATATAGATATGCCAAGCTAGGGATGTAGCTCAGTGAGTGGTAAAATGCTTGCTTAGTATTCTCAAGTCTTTGGATTCAATCCCCAGCACTGAAACAAGAAGTCTTTACCAACATAGGAAAGTCTTAAAATGCAATGTAAAATGAGAAAAGTAAGTTATAGCATATCATAAGTACAGTAAAATTACAGTTTTTAAATGTTCAAGACATTATAACATATTGCTTAAGGATACATACTCATGTAGCAAAGGTATAAAAACATTATCCTGACAGATAAGCACTAATTTCAGGATATTGATAAACCCTTGTGTGAAGGAAGGAGAGAAATGGGACCTAGGGAGAGAATGTCAACAAAATGCCAATGTGGCCAAAAGTTAATTTTTGTTAATTAAAGGGGACAGGGACATACAGGTATTTGTTAGATAATTTTTGTTACAAAATTGTTGTTATAGTTTCAGTATGTTTGAAATTTTAACTTTTTTAAAAAAGAAATATAGGGCCTTTGGTTTTGACTGTCCTATAGTAAACAATAATTATCTTACATCGGGTAATCCCAACTACTCAGTAGGCAGAGGTCAGGAGCACTGCTGTTCAAAGCTAGCCTATGCAAAAAGTTAGTGAGATCCTATCTCAGTCAATAAACCAGGCATAGTTGTACACACCTGTCTTCCTAGCTATTCAGGAGCCAGCCTCAGGCAAAAAAGCAAGACCCTGTCTAAAAAAAAAACCTAAAGCAAAAAAAAGGTGTTGTGCAAGTGGTAGAGTTCCTGCCTAACAAGTATGAGGCCCTGAATTTAAATTCCAGTACCACCAAAAATAATCATTATAAATAATAATTACCTTATAATTTGATAAGATAAATAATAATTCATTTGAATTCCTTTAGTTTTTCCTCTTTTTATCTCATATCATTAAATGTCACAGAATTGAGTATGGTATTAGATTCATCTGAAATAGAGACCAGTTGGCTCACCTTCACCACTAAGTCATTTAGCCTCCCAATAACTCCAGTTCTTCATCTATAAAGAAGATTTTGGAATTTTTAACTACTAAACAGAATTGTGAGCTAAAAGTAAAAAACTGCATGTTTAGTGCTCAGCACATAGTAAGCACTTGTTTAGCTATAATTGTCTTGTTGGAACTATTTGAATTTGTACATTTTTTCAGAGCTGATAAATGTTGGTGTGTTTTCTAAAGTTATTAATGAATCTTATTGAAAGATGTCAGTTTACTAATTAGTAATTATCAACTTTAAGAATGCATTGTGCAGCTATAGCAAATCCACAAACAGGAATCCCTTTGTGACTTTTAAAAAGTAAAAAAAGACTATCTTGAATACAGAATAAAAAATGACTACATTCTTTGAGCCTGATTCGTAATTCTTTAACTTCAAGTATGGTCGTGTACACATTATTCAATTATTTGTTCCCACTATTTTATTTTGATTTATTTTCTACTTACAGAAAACAAATTTAGAGTACTATTACTTCAAAAAGTGACTGAAGCTACAGATACAACCTGCCTTTCATTTTTAATTTATCTTCTCCTTTCTAACAGTATAACATTCAGGCTTATCCAACAACAGTGGTATTCAACCAGTCCAGTATTCATGAGTATGAAGGACATCACTCTGCAGAACAGATACTGGAGTTCATAGAGGTATTTTAAATTACAGCCTGAGGCTAGAAATCCTGGTTATGTGTATACTTTGCATGTTTAATAATAGTACTTAATTTTTTTCACCCAAACCATTTTCTGACAAGGAAATGAATTTTATTTAAATCATTGTTCTGTTCCCTTATCTAGTGTCTTGTATGTAGGAAACAAAACTGCTTATTGATTATATGAAATTATACTTCAGCATAAAGCCTTGTCACCCATTTGTGCTCTTTTCCTCTAAAAGCAGAAGTGCTCTGCACCACAGCATGAAGCTTGGGCAGCATCTGCCAGGCCTGCTGCATCAGTAGCACAGAAGTATTCTGTACCCACAGCACTCTTCCATTCTCATTAATAGTCCTGACTAAATGACCCGAAAAATGAATGACCATCCTATTCTCATCTGTTCCCCTCCAAAATATATTTTGTGTTGTTTTGTTTTTGATAAAACTAATTTCTTAACAAAGAATATTGCCTGATATTATAGGCTGTGACTTTAGTTAATATGTAATGTCTAGAAAGAAGTTGTGAGATATCCCCAATCAAAATGTCCAAAAAAAATGATAGATTTTTCATTTTCATTTCATTTTCAACTAAAGGTTCATCTCCAAGGCAATCATTCTTGGTTCCAGAACGGAACTATGTAGCTTATCTGGGCAGCTCTTTGAACCATATTGTATTGTCTCCTCATAGTCTTGAAGTTGCCTCTTATCAGTCTGTAGTAGTTTTAGTGATAAAGACAAAGGAAAAAAATATACCCTGATTTAAGAAAATTGATTTAAGCAAATTCTGAACTTTAAAAGTTAATTTGGTAAATGTCCTTAAGCATCTTTTGATTTCTCTAAAGCAGGAAGGCTTGTTTTTTAATGTTTTTATTAGTATATGATAGTTGCATAGGGATTTCATTTTGGATTTCCATATGTATTATACCCCAGTTTGGTTCATATCATTAATCTTCCTCTTCTCTCTCTCCTTGAAATAACTTTGACAGGTTTCATTGTTCCATATTCATACATATATAAAGTACTTCAACCATTTTCACCCTCCTTTACCCTTCTCTTCATTTACCCTACCCCTCCATTAGGGTCCTCCTCTTAACATGACCTATATTACATTCCTGTCCTTCCATGTTTTTAGTGTCTGTTCATTGTTCAGTGGGGTTTTGCCTGTAAATATTGTACTTTAGTCTGTCAGACCCCCTGTTACTCTTATCTTTTTCCCCTACCCTGTATTATTCAACAATTTTCAGTTATGTATTATTTCTACATAATTGTAGTGTATTTCAGTATTACTCATTCCCTATCATTCCTTTTTTCTTTTCCTCCTCCCTAGTGTTCCCAACAGTCTCACTTTTGGAAACATGTTCTGTGTATATATGTATATATAATAGTTTATATTTGCATCAGTCTTTCACATGTGAGAGAAAACATGTGACCTTTGTCTTTCTGAACCTGGCTGCTTCATTTAACATGTTCTCCAGTTCTATTCATTTACCCAAAACAGAGCCTTCCTATATGGCATATACCAGCAGCTTGCCAAGAAAATATGAACTCTTTATATCTATTATAATAGTCTGCTCTTTTTATCATTAGCATATAATAGATTGTGATAGTTAATGTGCTTACAATATACCTTAGATTTACTCCCTCCATCGTTCTCTCTCCCTCCCCTTCTTCGGACAATTTCAACAGGTTTCAGTCTTCTATTTTTATATAGAAAATAAAATGCATCCACCATATTTGCCCTCATTCACCCCTTCTTTATGCTCTCTCCACTTCCACTGGTGCCCACCCCATAAAATATCTGTTTTATTCCCATCCTTCATTTAAAAAAAAAAAAATATATATATATATATATATATATATGGGGGTTCACCTTGGCATTTCAGAAATGTATATATTATGCATGCTTTAATCAGATTAACCCCTCTTCATAACTTACTCACCATGTTCCCCTATTATTAACAGCTTTTAGTGCATTATGTTATATTCACGTATAGATGAGATGTTTCATTATTTTACATTCTCTCTGTGTTTTCTTTAGGATCTTAGAAACCCTTCAGTGGTCTCTCTTACACCCTCCACTTTCAATGAACTAGTTAAACAAAGAAAGCATGATGAAGTCTGGATGGTTGATTTCTATTCTCCGTGGTGTCATCCATGTCAAGTCTTAATGCCAGAATGGAAAAGAATGGCCCGGGTGTAGTAAAATACTTTATCTTAAATATTGCCACTAAGAATGTTTATTTAATAGTTTTTTTGAAACAAATATATAAATACCAGAATGGAAAATGCAATCAATATTTCATATTTATAAATAAACTGGAGTTAAAGTTATTTTAAATATATCTTAACAATTAAGATTTTTTGTGCTATTTCCAATAACATTTTTATATTTGGGTTATGAGTCAAAGGATACCTGCAATGCTTGCCTCCATTAAAAACAGGAATTTTTTTAAATACTGCAGAGAGTTTCATTAGTTTTTG